CGATAGGTATGTCCCCGAAGATTAAAAAAAAACGTTCGGACCCGCCGCTCTCCACCGCCAGCCAAAACTACCTTGACCGGAAATAATCATGTGGATGGTGGGACGGTGGGGGTACGCCTTATGATCGGAGGTAGGCGGTTATGGAATCTGCCACGGTTGCCCGTTGCTTCCATCCCCTTTCAGCATGGTCATGACGCCTTTCGCCACCAACGCCAAGCCACCTTTGAGAGCATGTGGAACGCAAGTCTCGTCCACGACGCACGTTAACAAGATCCTCTGCAGAGCTGGCATGTGTTTGACGGCGTTTATGTTGGCAAGTTAGAGTAGAACATGCACTGCGTGCGACGAGCGGGCAGCATCTGCGGCGCAAGTCCCATTTCGAACAGATGAAGCTAGCATCCGCCACAAAAGTCGTTAGCATAATTGCTCCGGCTGGCGACACAATCAATCCCAATGGCGACACTGTTTAGTCGGGGTGCACAATCACGGCAGACGGGGCGTTAGCTTCAGTGCTCGATGGCCGAACTGGGGCAGCGCGAGAAACATTAAAAACAATTAGCCTGGCGAAGAACCCAACCATATGCAGTTGTCAGTACCGCAGCTGCGGGTTTCATCTTCAATGGAACTCCCCATAGGACTACGGAACGTGTGAGGGGTGTGCCGAGATGGGTGCCACTGGGGCATTCGGCGAAGCTCCCTATGGGGACATGAAACACGCGCGGGGCGTGCCGACATGGGTGGCGGAAACGCATGTGCGGGCCGCCACTGGGGCCTCCAGTGGAGCTCCCTATGGGTCCCCGAAACATGATGCTGCTGCTGCGGGGGGGGGGGGCGGGATGGGTGGCGGAGACGCATGTAAGCGCCGCTACTGGGGCCTTCGGTGGAGCTCCCTATGGGGCCACGAAGCGCGTGAGGGGTGTACTGGGATGTGTGGCGGGGACGCATGTGAGCGCCGCCACTGGGGCCTTCGGTGCAGCTCTCTATGGGGCCACGAAACGTGTGAGGGGTGTGCCGAATTGGGTGCGGGTGGTGACGCATGCGGGCGGTGCCACTGGGGCCTTCGGTGGAGCTCCCTATGGGGCCACGAAACCTGTTGTTGTGAGGGGCGTGCCGGGATGGGTGGCGGGGACGCATGTGAGCGCGGCCGCTGGGGCCTTCGGTGGAGCTCCCTATGGGGCCACGAAACGTGTGAGGGGTGTGCCGAATTGGGTGGGTGTGGGTGACGCATGTGAGCGCCGCCACTGGGGCCTCCGGTGGATGATGGGGCCACGAAACCTGTCAGGGATGTGCCGAAATGGGTATGCGGGACGCATGCGCATGTGAGCGCCGCCACTGGGGCCTTCGGTGGAGCTCCCTATGGGGCCACGAAACGTGTGAGGGGTGTGCCGAATTGGGTGTGCGGGACGCATGCGGGCGGCAGCACTGGGGCCTTCGGTGGAGCTCCCTATGGGGCCACGAAACGTGTGAGGGGTGTGCCGAATTGGGTGTGCGGGACGCATGCGGGCGGCAGCACTGGGGCCTTCGGCGGAGCTCCCTATGGGGCCACGAAACGTGTGAGGGGTGTGCCGAATTGGGTGTGCGGGACGCATGCGGGCGGCAGCACTGGGGCCTTCGGTGGGGCTCCCTATTGGGCCACGAAACGTGTGAGGGGTGTGCCGAATTGGGTGTGCGGACGCAAATGTCGGGCGTCCAGCACTGGGCCTTCGCGGGCTCCCTATGGGGCCACGAACGTGTGAGGGGTGTGCCGATTGGCGTGCGGGGGCGCATGCGGCGGCAGCAACTTGGGGCCGTTCGTCGGTGGCTTCCCTATGGGGCCACGAAACGTGTGAGGGGTGTGCCGAAATGGGCGTGCGGGACGCATGCGGACGGCAGCGCTGGGGCCTTCGGTGGAGCTCCCTATGGGGCCACGAAACGTGTGAAGGGGTGTGCCGAAATGGGTGTGCGGGACGCATGCGGACGGCAGCACTGGGGCCTTCGGTGGAGCTCCCTGTGGGGCCACGAAACGTGTGAGGGGTGTGCCGAAATGGGTGTGCGGGACGCATGCGGACGGCAGCACTGGGGCCTTCGGTGGGTTCCCTATGGGGCCACCTAGCGTGCATAGGGGTGTGCCGAAATTGGGTGTGCGGGACGCTATGCGGGCGGCATGCACTGGGGCCTTCGTGTTGGCGCTCTCTAATGGGCCACCGGAACGTGTAGGTGGGTGTGGCCCGAATTGGGTCTGCGTGGACCATGCGGGGCAGCATCACAGGTGCTGGGGGCCTTCGGTGGGGCTCCCGATGGGGCCACGAAGCGTGTGAGGAGGTGTGCCGAATGGTGTGCGGGACGCATGCGTGCGGCAGCACTGGGGCCTTCGGTGGGGCTCCCTATGGGGCCACGAAACGTGTGAGGGGTGTGCCGAATTGGGTGTGCGGGACGCATGCGGGCGGCAGCATGGGGCCTTCGGTGGGGCTCCCTATGGGGCCACGAAACGTGTGAGGGGTGTGCCGAATTGGGTGTGCGGGACGCATGCGGGCGGCAGCACTGGGGCCTTCGGTGGGGCTCCCTATGGGGCCACGAAACGTGTGAGGGGTGTGCCGAATTGGGTGTGCGGGACGCATGCGGGCGGCAGCACTGGGGCCTTCGGTGGGGCTCCCTATGGGGCCACGAAACGTGTGAGGGGTGTGCCGAATTGGGTGTGCGGGACGCATGCGGGCGGCAGCACTGGGGCCTTCGGGGGCTCCCTATGGGGCCACGAAACGTGTGAGGGGTGTGCCGAATTGGGTGTGCGGGACGCATGCGGGCGGCAGCACTGGGGCCTTCGGTGGAGCTCCCTGTGGGGCCACGAAACGTGTGAGGGGTGTGCCGAAATGGGTGTGGCAGGATGAGGGGGGGGAGGAGGAGAGGAGGAGACGCGGGCCACCGTCTCTTCAAAACGAGGACCCAACACCACAGGATGGTTGGGAACTACTAATTCCGCCGCGTCCAGTACCACTCTGGCCAATCTCGCGCCAGTAACGGGGATATATTTAACACATACATTCTCAATAAGCTCCTGCGCAACCTGCATTTACTGTGGCCTTCCACCGTGAAGACTCGGACAATCAATGCGAAGATACAACTCTCTTGTTACAACCACGTCACCAACGTTTCGGTTGTGCAGCACGCCCGCGCAAAGCCCGTGAACAGCATGTTGTTGGGTAAACAAACCACATGGCAAGTGGCCTCGGTTAGACGTGACACAACGAATCAAGTGAGGCAAAGCGTCTCCGACCGTAACAGTTTGTCATTTCAGCGAGCCGGCGGGCACGTATGACGCCGAGGCAGACTCAATACGAGTTGGGCGAGCACTGTTTTCAAACACGCGGTGAGAGCACGCGGCGCTCTCAGCGAGTCCCCTTGGGCCAACGGCTACCGAGTGAGTGGGAAGCCGCTGTCAACAGGGTACTGCCACAATGGCGGTGTTAACTTCTCATACCACCGTGCCGTTTGGTGCGCGCAAGTTCATGCTTCCCGAGAGGGCCCCAGAGGCACACATCAGTGATTTCCATTCGGCTTTTGAAAAATTGAAGCGTTCTCGCCTATTCGACGTCCCGACGCTCCAGAACAGCCCAAAAAGGCCACCAAGGTCGCCCCAAGACGCCCAAGAGGCCTCCAAGAGGCCTCCAAGAGGGTTCCAAAACGACCCAAGAGGGCCCAGCAGGCTTCCAACTCGGTCCAAGAGGCCCACGAGACGGCTTTGCTTGCTTGTCCCAAGTCCTCTCCTCACGAGTACCAGCAAACCCTCCCTCACCCCAAGAGGTGCAATCTTGAAAGGCCGTCCGCCCGGCCCGAAAAAGGCACTGAACATCTGACGGTCTGATTGTCCAATGCCCTGCCCAAAGGGTCCCGACCCGCTCCCCGGGGGCAGTTCTTCGCCCCGCATCCGCTTCTGATGGCCCCTGGACCTGGAAATGGGCCCTCGCGGCCGAACTCGAAGAGCACTCTTTTTTTTTCGCCGGCGGCGAAGCAATGGCAGTCCGCACCAGCGCGAGGCGAATCCCGGCAACCGATCGTCGAATTGTGCCGTGTCGAAGGGAGGAGGAGGGAAGCGCTCAGACGTGGAAGAGTTCCTCGAAGAGCAGGCCAGAGCGGCCAGCCAGGGCAGCGGGGACCGCGGCAGCAGCCGGGGGCCAGGGCCGGGGCGCACCCGCGGGCGCTGCCAGGGCGCAGTGCCGGTGGCGAGCAAGTAGAACCAGTCCAGGGGTCCGAGGACTGCCACCAGCAGAGCCGACGAAAAAAAACCGTCGTAGCGGATAAAACGCCCAGATAAAAGAACACTAACATCGTCGGAGATCTGGGGCCCCGCCGTGGGCTCCGCCCGGGCGCACCGCCGCGGGGCCCCTCCGCGCCGCGCTGGGAGTTCTCCGCGCGCTGCGCGGGGAGCGCCGCGGAGCACCCCTGGAACGCCCCGGGCGAGACCCCTCCGCGCGAGCCGAGGCTCAGGGCGGGCATGTCCCTCCACAGGAGGACGACCCCCAAAGAGTCCACGCGTAGTCTGTGGGGGCGATACTTCTCGACTCTTCGTTGCCTACCTTTGGCTCGGTTGTTAATTTATCCTCGAGGAACCGCCTGTGGGGGGAGGAGGGAGGAGGAGGAGGGAGCCTGAGGGGGGAGGAGGAGGAGGAGGAGGAGGAGGAGGAGGGGGAGGAGGAGGAGGAGGAGGAGGAGGAGAGGAGAGGAGGAGGAGGGGAGGAGGAGGGAGGAGGGAGGAGGGAGGGGGAGGAGGAGGAGGAGGAGGAGGAGGAGAGGAGGAGGAGAGGGAGGAGGAGGAGGGAGGTGGAGGAAGAGGGCAGCGACGGACCACGACGTTGACGACGACGGGCTGCGACGACGACGACGACGACGACGACGACGACGACGACGACGACGACGGACCACGACGGACCACGACGACGACGACGATGACGACTACGACGACGACGGACCACGACGACGACGAGGACGCCGACGCCGACGACGACGAGGGCCCGCCGCCGGCGCTCCTGCCGGGAGCTCCGTGCGCTCCGCCCTCTCCGCCAGCAGCCGCGCGGCCAGGCGCGCCCGCTCCGCCGCGGCGGGGCCCGCCGCGGCCAGCAGCGGCGCCGCGAGCAGCGCCTCGAGCACCGCGTCGGCGGCGCCTGCTCGGGGGCCCATCGGCGGCCCTGCGCGACGGCCCTTCGGCCCTCGGAGACCCTCGGCGGCCCTTCGGGGCCTGGCGCGCGGCGCCCTCGGGGGCCCCCAGCGGCCCTCCGACGACCCTTCGGCGGCCCCGCGGCGACCGCTCGGTGGCCCCTCGGAGGCCCTTCGGCGGCTTCTCGGCATGGGGCGTCGGCGGCGGCGGCGTCGTCGTCGTCCTCCTCCTCCTCCTCCTCCTCCTCCTCCTCCCTCCTTCTGCTCATCCCTCCTCTCTCCGTCCCTCCCCCCCTCCTCATCTTCTTACCTGTTCGCTCCCCCTCCCCCCGTAACTACCCCCGCCCCCTTTTCTTCCCGCTCCCCTGGGGCAGCGTTGCGCCCTCCGTCTCGACCCCCCCGCCGTGCCGGGGGCCGAGCCGGCCCAGGGGATGCATGCTGCTGCGGGGCGCGACAGCCGGGAGGGGGCGCTCGCTCCTTCCGAGGCCGAGGGCCTTGTCCTTCCATGCCGAAGCCCTCCACGCTCCTCCAATCATTGTCGGCTACACGTAACAGCGGCCCCGCGCAAAAACGACTGTTGGCGCGCGGTTCTCGAAAACCTCGGAAACGACCCAAATCCCAGCGTGCTGGCCAGTGGTAGTAACCCCCCTGTGAACCCACCAAAAGTCACTCCGTTGAAAGGTCATTCTCACGTGCAACCGACATTGCCCAGTCGCTCGGCCTGCCCCTCCAGGGCCGAGGGCCAGCACCTTGGCGCCCGAGGCGATCTCGTCGGGGGCCTGGCGCACCGCATCCTCCAGAGAAGAGGCCCGCGGCGATCTGGCAACCGTTTTTGAAGACGCCGCCAGGATCGCTCACAGTCCTGCGGCCCCAACCGCCGGCAGTGGTCCAGGGCCCACCACCGGCAATGCCCAAGTGCCCTGCCGCGTGCAGAACGCAACGCTTCCTTTCGAAGGCGGCAACATGAGACGCAGGCCCAGGGAACTCCGAGGTTTGAGGCCCCTCCAACTCCAGAGCACGTCGGCCTGGGGATCGAGATTGCCAGCGGCCGCGAACCACGATGACATCATGTTCCTGCAGCACCCCAGCCCGTCCGCTGCGCGTTCGACTGAAGAATGTGGTCGGACCTGACAGCAACCGCTTTGAGATGCGCAGGCAATAGTATGCCAACCAACGCGGTGCGCTGTAATGCCAGCTTGCGACTCCCAAGAACATGACAGACGCGTGATGATAAACATGGTTTCCGTGCTCGGGCGAATCGCAAGGAGGAACCCACCATGTGGAAACACGCACACACAACAGCGGTGCCGGTGATCAGCGCTGACATCAAACAGCAATCTGGAAGGCGACAAGCGCGACGCAAGCGGCGACGCTTCAGCGGGAGACAGCAGCGCCTCCGCGACAGCGGGGCGGTTGCAGCAATCATGGAAGAAAGAGGAGGCGGGAGCAAGAGTCGTTTCACAACTGGCGGCGGGAACCGACATGGTTCCAAGACAAATAACAAATTGTCAGACATACCCCCACATTGCCAACGGAAAACCAAAAATAGTCTCCAGACTTTTTTTCCTACTTCTGAATATTCCTCCTGTAGAGGGACATGCCCGACTTAGGGTAGGGTCAGGATTTCGTCGCCGATTGCGGGCGAGATCTGGTCCCCTCGCAGTCACGGGCTCGGCTCGAGCCGTCTCCCTGCCTGGCCCGCACGAGGCGGCCCGCCGCGACACGCGCCGGACTTGGACCGCGACCTGGGAGCGGCGACGACACTGAGCAGACCTAGCCGGCAGCGCCCACCATCGACAGCATTGAAGGGGCCCTGAGACACACACATAAATACACACAAATAAAGGGATCCACCATATTTTCCCATATTTTCTGTGTTTCTGTCAGCCCCCCCACTTCCCATATTTTCGCATATTTTCTGGGGGATCGAAGATTAATTGTGTCTGTGTGTTTCTTGTCCTCCTGAAGCATGATCGACGAAAGCGGGTGCCACCCCACTGCGATCATGCTGGGCAGGGGGGCAATCCGAAGTCGACGCCCGGGTGGAGCTTCCCTGCGCGACCGACTCCAAACACCCTGGATCCTCCAAACGTGTCTTCTCTTGGGGGCGCAACCGTTACTCCCGCCGACTTTCCGCAGGCGGAGGCGCCCCTGTCTTGCTTCCGCTGGCTTCCTCCGCGGAAGAGATGCCAGCTCCTTCGATTCCTCGAATCGTTCGCTTTTTAAAGGGGGTCACCATTTTGGGGGTCAGTGAACAGCATGATGGATTCCGCAATTTTGTTCGGGTGCGATTTTCGCTCGGTAATATACTGAATCACTCGCGTTGAGTTTGCTAATTCTTACCTGCGTTGCCATGTGGCAGCGCACCCGATAGTATCAGCAGCGCGGGCAGCTTGGGGCACATCCTCCGTCGAGAGTTGAGCTTCCTGAGGTGCCGCAGGGCTTCGATGGGTCCCCCAAGGGGGGCCCCTTGGGGATAGGAGGCTTCCGTGGGGCACCTCCTGGCAGGCTGCTTTGGTTTGACGTGCCTACTGCACGTGTCGGGCAGCGCCCAGGCGCGGAGGCCGCCCATGCCAGCTCGCCACTCCCTAAGGCCCCTCCCTGAGAGCCAAAGAGGCCCCTGGCTCGCCAAAGGGGCCCCTGCCTGAGAGCCACTCGGGCTCGCCCTCGCGGGCAGACGGCGGGCCTGCGTGCTCCTCGCCGCACCGGGTGCACTGCGCGTCCCCACGACGGCCCCGAGCCGCGGGGCGAGGCTCGGGCGGCAGCGGGTGGGGGGTGTGAGTGGTGAGCGGGGCCTTGCGCGAGCCCCACAGCAACGGGGCAACGATGCGGGGAGGGGGGGGGGGCTGGGCTCTGGCGGTACATCGCCGGTACATCGGCGATCGGCCCGCGCTGGCGAAACTGCACGCTCCTGCGAGGGAAGGGGTAGCAGGCCCCTCTCAGTGTCGTTGAGGGGTCGACGCGTCCCCCGCGTAGCCAATTCCCCTCCTAACACGTTGCCCCTGAGGGGCGTGGGTGGTGTGGCCGCGTCGGAGCGGCGGGCCCCCGCAGCCTGTTTGAGTGCCTGGGAGGCACCCCGCGAGGGCTGCGAGAACTGGCGTGTACCCAGGCCGACGCGGCCCACCTGCGCATGCTGTTTTCTGGGATGCAGGGCGCGACGAGAAGCCCTGCGCCTATCTGTGGGCGGATCCTCCTGGCGAGTAGGTCGGTAGCCGCACTGCGGCTGCATAGGATCTCCCAGGAATATCCGTCTCCTGACACTCCGCCTCCTCCTCCTCCTCCTTCTCGTCCAGCTCCCCCTACCCCTCCTCCCTTCTCCTCCTGCTCCTCCTCCTCCTCCTGCTCCTCCTCCTCCTCCTGCCTCCTCCTCCTCCTCCTCCTCCTCCTGCTTCCCCCCTCCTCCTCCTCCTCCTCCTCCTCCTCCTCCTCCTCCTCCTCCTCTTCCTCGCATTCCTTCCCCTCCTCCTCCTCCTCCTCCTCCTCCTCCTCCCCCTCCTGCTCCACCCCCTCCTCCTCCTCCTCCTCCTCCTCCTCCTCCTCCTCCTCCTGCTTCTCCTCCTCCTCCTCCTCCTCCTCCTCCTGCTCCTCCTCCTCCTCCTCCTGCTCCTCCTCCTCCTTCTGTCCTCCTCCTCCTCCTGCTCCTCCTCCTTCTGCTCCTCCTCCTCCTCCTCCTGCTCCACCCCCTCCTCCTCCTCCTCCTCCTCTCTCCTCCTCCTCCTCCTCCTCCTCCTCCCTCTCCTCCTTCTCCTCCTCCTCCTCCTCCTCCTCCTCCTCTTCCCCTCCTCCTCCTCCCTCCTCCTCCTCCTTCTCCTACTCCTCCCCTCCCTCCCTCCCCCTCCTCCTCCTCCTCCTCCTCTCCTCCTCTCTCCCTCGTCCTCCTCCTCTTGCTCCTGCTCCTGCTCCTCCTCCTGCTCCACCCCCCCTCCTCCTCCTCCTCCTCCTCCTCCTCCTCCTCCTCCTCCTCCCATCCCTGGAAGACGACGGCGACGGCGACGGCGACAACGGCGGCGCCGACGACCTCAACGACGTCACCCGTGGGCGGGTGCGACGGTGACGGCGGCGACCGCGGCCGCGACGGCGGCGGCGGCGCGGCCGCGGGCGACGGCCAAGGTGGTCGCGGAGGAGGGGCCTTCACGCTGCTGACCGCCCGCCGCTGCCGCCATCCGCGGGTACGGAGGGGGGAAGGGGTAGTAGGCCCCTAGCGATCAGTGTCGATTAGGGGTCGACGCGTCCCCCGCGTAGCCAATCCCCCCCAAATACGTTGCTCCTGAGGGGCGTGGGTGGTGTGGCCGCGTCGGAGCGGCGGGCCCCCGCAGTCTGTTTGAGTGCCTGGGAGGCACCCCGTGAGGGCTGCGAGAACTGGCGTGTACCCAGGCCGACGCGGCCCACCTGCGCATGCTGTCTTCTAGGATGCAGGGCGCGACGAGAAGCCCTGCGCCTATCTGCGGGCGGATCCTCTTAGCGAGTAGGTCTGTAGCCGCACTGCGGCTGCCTGAGATCTCCCAGGAATCTCCGTCTCCTCCCACTCCTCCTCCTCCTCCTCCTCCTCCTCCTCCTCCTCCTCCTCCTCCTTCTCCTCCGCCTCCTCCTCCTCCTCCTCCTCCTCCTCCTCCTCCGCCTCCCATCCCTGGAAGACGACGACGGCGACGACTACAACGGCGGCGCCGACGACCTCGGCGACCTCACCCGCGGGCGGGGTGCGACGGTGACGGCGGCGCCCGCGGCCGCGACGGCGGCGCGGCCGCGGGCGACGGCCAAGGTGGCCGCGGAGGGGGGGGCCTTCGCGCTGCTGACCGCCCGCCGCCGCCGCCATCCGCGGGTACGGAGGGGGGGAGGGGAGCGCCGCGGCGCGCCGCGCCCCGACTCTCTGCCGGGCGCGGCCCGGCCGGCCCCAGGGGCCGAGCGTCGGCACGGAGTCGCCTCCCGACGTGCTCGCGTCGCGGTTCCAAGCAAACCGCGGTGGGCGGCTTTTCGACCTTTTCGACCTCCGTCTTCGACCTATCGACATATTCGACCTATGCCAC